AGGTCCTTGTTCTTCTTCCGAACGAAGAGAACGGGCGCACCGTAAGGTGAGCTGCTAGGGCGGATCCAACCCTTGTCAAGTAGATCGTCGAGTTGCGCACGGAGCACACTTAACTCTTCCTCGCTCATTCGGTAGATGCAGCCGCGTGGAGGTACGGCCCCGTCCTCGAGGATGATCTCGTGGCGGATGGGCCGATCCGGTACTACTCCGTGCGGGCCTTCGAACACGTCGCTGTAAGCGTCGAGAAGCTCGATGATGCGTGGATCCGAAGATGAGTCCGTCGATGAAGCGTCTCGGGGCGGGAGGGCGAGGAGAAAACATACCCCCATCTCCTCGATGTCGTCTCTGATGATGGATGCTCGCATGCTTGCGGCGGATACCATGTGGCAGTTGATAGAAGGATGARGAAGAGGCACCGTGCATGGAACTAGTACTCCGTTTCGATCACGAATGTGAACGGTGCAGTTGAAGAAGTTCACCGGGTGATCCTCGCTTCACAGCCATGACATGCCCAAGATCATGTCAAATTTGGTGTCCAGAATGTCAAAGGACACCGCCTCACTTGCGTGAGAGGCAAAGTACACAGGGACGACGTCAATGCACCGGTCGATTGACTTGTGCGTATGACCGTCTGCCAACGTGACTTGTGTAGGCTGCGACTTCCTCCGGACACGTGGGCCAAGGCCGGCGCGCACCATGAAGTCCTCGCTGATGTAGTTGCGAGATGCTCCGCAATCGATCAAGGCACTGCAGGTCGCCTCACCGATCTGAATGCGTATGTACAGCAATGGTGCGTCGATGTCGTCATACCGTTGCGTCTTGAACTGGCGATCAATCTTCGCGATGTACTCGTGAAGGTTGACAACTCTACTCCGCCGTCCATCAACGGAGTTGGTACTGCAGTGTGCAAGTAGTCCCGCAGTTGTGCCATGAGCACATTGCAATGCGGTTTCGACAATCGTCCGGTCGAGGGAACGGGCATCCACTGGAAGTCCGTGAACGTCAACGGGTCGAGCTCATCAAGTGTTGACCATGACGTCGAATCCCCGGCGATAGATTGTGGCGAAGGTGCCGAATCGGTTGCCGATGGTGATGAAACCGTGCATGCGGTGGACTATTGCACGTGGAGCGGCTGCTCCAGCGGTGGAACCAAGTAGACAGCATAGTTCTCGTAAGAGTAACGAGAACTTGCGACATTCGCGTCCTCCCCAGATGTGCAGGAGGTTGCTAGCAAGGCGGCCGAATCTGGCGGAGCGGAAGGTGAAGTCGCCTCACCTTCCGCGGAGCTTAGTTTCCCGAGCTGAGGCAGGGTCGCACATCCTCCTTGCCCTGATCCTGGCACAGGGAGGTCTTGTGCTTGGTGCTGTTGCACCAATAGCAGCTGCCGTAGCGGCCACGGACTTTGTACTCCGCCTCGGTTAAGCCGAACTTGACCCATGGAACTTGTACTGGCTGTCCATTTCTGGACTGCGATACGGACTTCGCCTTCCCATTGTTGCGGGACTTGTTGTTGCTTCGCGGCTGGACAGCAGCCACCTGATCTCCGTCACTTGATGCTGGAGTGGCTGCTCGGTTATCTCCACTGTCCTGGTGGACTGCAGCGAAGTGCTGCTGTCGCGGACCAGTTCGTGCCTTCTCCACATAGGTCGGCTGCCATGTTGATTTCTCGTGTGCAGCTGACCTGTTGGTCTTGATGATCTCTCTCGCCTTGTTGATGATCTCTGCGAAAGTGTGGTACTGCTCGCGATCACCAAGTGCGAGGCTCAGAGCGGCGCATGACCTGTTGTAGAACTCACGGCGCAGATGYGGAAATGGCAAGTCCAGATCGGGCGTGGCMACGATCTTCTGCCAATCCKTGAGCCAGTCACGTGTCGGTGTGCTCCCTTGAGCCATCGCGAAGATGYRGTTGATSGCGAGCGCGGRTGCGTCATCCACTATGAACCGCTTCTTCCATTCCTTTGCCATATCCTCCCAGGTGACCTTCTTATGCAGGTCKGAAACCTGGAYGCYGTGGATGGTTGCCATGTGGCTGAGCCAGATCTGACATCCTCCCTTGGTGTTGATGAATAGAGCACTGATGAACAGATGGTTAGGGACCTCGTGGATCCCCAACTCTGTTGTAAATCCTTGCCACCAGACGACCGGGTCTTGATGCGTGTAATCATCAAATTTCTCGATCCGGAACGTCGGCATCTTGTATGGCCTTGCCGAGCTGTTGTTGTGGCTGTGGTCGGTCGGCTGTTGCTGACTGATCTTAGTGTCCAGCAACTCGAACCGCTGGCTGATGGTGGCCGGCTCTGTGCCACTACGTGGTCAACGCGTTCCTCCAGTTGGCGGCTAGAGGATGCACTGCTGGAAGCCCCAGCATCTGGTCCTGGGACAGCCTGTTCCAGGTCCAGTACACGGGCATCCAGTGCCCATGTGGCATCCTCGTGCTGAGTCTTATGGTTCCACACGGCCCGCTGGAGGTTCGCCAGCTCGGACTGTAGGTGGTTACAAGTATAAACCAACCTGGTCACGAGCTTGGCCATGAACTCCTTATGCTTTTCTTCCGGTGTTGGTTCGTCGCCATTCGGTTCAAAGTGCCAGAACTTGAGTCTGTCGATGTTGCTGGCTTCATGCCGCTGCAGCAGATCCTGGGCTTCCTTGCGGCGAGCCTGGGCATCTACGTCTGCTTCGGCCTGTAGCCGCAGCTTCTCTGGTGTTGCCTCTTCTTCAACCTGTAGCTGGGCAGCCTTGACTGCCAGCTGGCGTTGTTCCTCAGCCTCGATTGCAGCGAGCTGAGCCTGGAAGCGCTTTTTGTAGTCGGCAATGGGCTCATTGGCCA